ATGGCAGTCAGTCCTTTCGACATACATCACATTGGATTCAATTAACGTAACTTATCTACTAATAGGGATCAAAACACTACGGCATCCGGGGGACGTCACTAAATCTGTTGAAATCATACCTTCAGGATAGGCAACTTAAAGTACAAGTAAATAAAGTAAATTCACAGGGTGCTAGCATATCTATGGGTGTACCGCAGGGCTCGATACTAGGTCCATTCTTATTTTTAACTTACATAAATGACTTGCCCCATTTATTTAAAAATGAACCGCAGATGGTTTTTAAAATTAATAGTCGTACGAATAGTTATGACAGTTACTAACAGTTTAGAAAGTAGGGAAACCGTTCGAAGCCCGAGGCAAATACATCGGATGGGCCCCGTTCCCTATAAAAAGAGAGAACTACTTACGATAGTTACGCTATTGAGTTTAGTTCGACCTATGTATCAATTAGACTCATTATAGCAGTATTACTTAACTATTTGACTGCTAAAAGAAAACTGTTAGAGGCAAATTCTCCGCTACAGTCACTTATGATCTCAAGGCATTTTTATCATAATTTGATTAATAATGACAATTTTACCCTAACACACACATGTACTTGGATTAAACGAAATGCATTGAAAGTCGACGACTGCTCAGTTAGTGCGGTGGCTGGGCAACCGGATGCTACACAACGTGTAGTGGGTTCGTTTCCCGCACGGAGCAAATCTTTGTAATCCACAAATTGTTGTTCCGAGTCTATGTATATGAACTTGTATGTTTGTAAACGCACCTACGATACAGGAGAGAATCCTAGTGTGGGGTTGTTTTTTAAAGCAAAAAAGGAAAAGAAATAAAAAAGAAGGAAAGTAATACTTAATGGAAATCCTAATACTAATAAAGAGCTTGTAAAAAAAATATAAAAATCATTACCTAATTAAATTATGAGCTACCCGAGTTACCAATCGAGGTACATGGTATATAATTATTAGGTAATATAATACTGACGTTTCTATATTAAATACTGACAATTGTCTAAACCTAGGCACTAACTCTATAAGCGTTATATCTACTGCAACCAATATAATAAAGTAATTATCAGCCTTACTTAAAATATACTAAAAATTAATGGAATTTGAAGACAACAATACTTTTTGCACACAAACATTAAGGGTGTTACCAAACCAATTGATCGATTGTCGATTGATGCCATCGGTCGATGGTAGAATGGATAAGTCAACATCGATCTTGCTACTTGAGCTCCGCATTGTCACCCACTACCCGTGAGATCAACGTCGACCGATTCCATTGACCGGCAACCGATCGATGGGTGAGTCAATCGGAATCCGTCGATCAATAAAGATCAACATCGACCGATGGCGATCGATAGGATGGATCGATTGCTATGGTAACACCGTTACAATATCTCTTAACATAATAATTACTCGTCTTGACCTCCGAAGAGGTGTTGAGACGTGCATCTAAAGCGCCGCCCACTTTTCCTCTCCATCCATACCATCGTTTTTAGCTTCCATCACATTCTTGCATCGAAGTTCTTAAACTACTAAGCAGTTCCTTTAATAATATCACCAGATCGAGTTTACATTTCTCCAAAATACAGCAACAACACACAATTACTTTTCAATATCTCTGTAACAAATACTTTGAGTGCTAAATTAATTGTGAAATATGACTTACTCACGGAACTAATCTAAGAGGTAACTCTAGTTCGTTACAACTCGTTTACTATGCAACATTCGCCACGTCGGTTATCGTATCGTCTCACGAGTATGGGCTCCTGGTTTAGCTTGAAATTGGTCGAGTTACGTGAGTAAGCCATGCAACATAATTAATTTAATACGTTTCACGATAGTGGTAATAGGGTAGATGACAAATTTTTATTTTAATGTCCGTCTAGTAGATTATTTTAAAATATTACACACGTATTTTTTTTTACAGAAACCAATACTTTTGACTATATATTGATTTGAAATGTCGCGTGACGTCACTTCTATGTACATTTTATACGTAGAAATGACGTTTTAGCCCCCACTTCTAAACTTTGAATCTTTATATCTAAGTATAACTTTGTTATACAATCTAAATAAATAAATACGTGTCTAATATTTTTTCATTGCCTAACTGACGGACTAATTAGATTTTTAATTTTCATACCCTGTCATCATCCCTATTCTCTCAGTTACCTATTCTCTTAGTTACCAAGCATAATTTTGATGTTGGCGTCAGGCACAAACATTACATCCGAATCTCATTACAATATGAAAGTGTTAGTAACGACATTAGTTAAAATCTTAAATTAGTTTATAACCTGCTTCATCCCTTCTAGTCCTATTAACCATAAGAGTAAAATACCCTTTTAATACATGCGATCAGACTTCCAATAATTCTATTAGTTCAATATTAACATATAATTAATGTGTAGTTACCATACAAAATTAGTAGTGTGTTAATTCTAAATTATACTAACCAAAGAATGTTGAAAAAAGGCGGACATAGTCTGTTGAAACATCGTATGTGGCACCCGGCTACTATAGACTTACACGCAGAACATACACACATTGACACGAAGGACATCTGTCGCGTGACATGGCCCGTCATTACACTTCATATATTACGGTGCTGCACACTTGCATATGTTACCGGCCAAACCCGATTTCAGGACAAACTAGTTTTGCCTAGGCCAAACTAGTTCTTCCTATAAGCGTTAGGATTAACTAGTATAGCCTAGTTCAAACTAATTTGTCCTAAGCCCGATAGGATAAACCAGTTTAGACTAGGACAAACTAATTGATCCTGATATAAATAGGCGCACTCTAGGATAAACTGGTATGGCCTAGTCTAAACATTCTAATATAGAGGTAGGTATCTAGAAAGTCAAAATAAATAGATAAATTAAATTAAATACTCCGTAATTGGTAAAATAATCATTTTTATTAAACTATAATGATTCGTCGTTAAAACTTATGGTTAATTGGTAATACGAACAATCATACTACCTCTATACCAAAGAATAAGTGTTTTTTAAAAGAAACAATAATTATTTAAATTGATATTAATATAAAATCATAATGATTCGTCGCTACAAGTTATAGATAATAATTGGCAATACAAACAATCATACTATAACCAACAATAGGTACTGTTTTTTATCATATAACATCACGCCTTTTACCCCCGAAGGGTTAGGCAGAGGTGCACATTATGCCACTGTACAATGTAACACCTACTTTTAACTATTTATATTACGAGTCCCATGTAATAGGGGGTGAGCCTATTGCCATATACCGGGCATAATTCCAGACTCCGTGCTACTACTTAGATTTTTTTTTAAACTTAGTAATACTTTGCCCGACTCTGGAATCGAACCCGAGACCCCTTGCCCCTGTAATCATATTATGACTAGGCCATACCAGTTTATCCTAGAGTGCGCCTATTTATATCAGGATCAATTAGTTTGTCCTAGCCTAAACTGGTTTATCCTATCGGGCTTAGGACAAATTAGTTTGAACTAGGCTATACTAGTTAATCCTAACGCTTATAGGAAGAACTAGTTTGGCCTAGGCAAAACCAGTTTGTCCTGAAATCGGGTTTGGCCGGTAACACATACACCACTGAAATTGTGGTGCTTTAATCATTTCTAAGTAACATTATTGCCGCCTTCTTTCAACGATTCTACCACTAAACATATACAATGAAAATAGTATTAAACAACACTACATTATATTGACTTAAATCCCATACAGTTGCATGAAATGTACACACACACACAAAATGACATAAAAATTAATTACTTGAATTAACAAAGCTTGCAAAATACTTTAACCATTTATTAGTAGGTAAAAATTTCTACAAATACTACCAATGATTGATTAATAATACCAAACTAATTGATTAATATTATAATGATATGGTTATTGTTACAATATTAGTACTAAAGTTAGTAATATTAGTTGAAAAGCGACACCTATATAAATTATTTTACAATGAGACTGCGCAAAATACTGTATTTTTCACCCTGTAAACATCACTTACCAATATTCAGGCATATTCGACGTCTATTACGTATCCCATTACATTTAGTCCTTTGAAAATACCTGGTCGTCTGTTCAGGAAATTATATATCTTTTCTAATTCAAAATATTAAACTACATCACGGTAATAGAAGAATATTAGGTAGAAGGATATAAATTTAGCTAAAAATCGCGTTAAAAATTAATTGGTATGTCTGTTATTATGAAAACAAAAGGATATTTATGCAATATCCTTTTATTTAGAAACCGTAGCGCTTTCTATTCTCCAAAAGCATAACATATAACATAACTTCACGCCTTTTATTCTCGTAGGGGAAGGCAGAGGCACATTATGGCACTTAATGCCACTGTACAATATAACACCCACTTTTCACTATTTATGTTATGAGTCCCATGTAATAGGGCAATTGAAAAACCCAGTATTACTTTGTCCGACCCGGGAATCGAACCTGAGACCCCTGGCCTGGCAGTCACACTTGCGACCACTGGGCCAACGAGGCAGTCAAAGTCAAAGGCGGCCAAAAGCATAGTAAGTATACATAGTATATATACCCACTTTTCGTCGTCAGAAATAATACGCGAACCACGCAACAAAATGAATAGCCAATAGACATTTATAAAATTAGCACAATTCCAAGCTTAACTATCATCATCAGCCTTATAACTGCCGGATAAAAGCTTCTTCTTACCTAGAGAAGAAATGAGCATTAATCACAAAGGTTGCTCAAGGAAAATTGGCGATTTCAAAGCTTAAAGTTAAAGTCAAAGCATTTATTTCAATTAAACCACAATTTGGTACTTTTGAAACGTCAATAAATACAAAATAAATAATAGTCTGTCAGTCAGTCTGCCAGTGAAGCTAGATGAAGCTAGGTGCTCATTCCAAAATGTAGATTCGAATGGAGAAGAACGAGCAAGAAACTTCATTCATTATAATTTAGAATCATAAGTCCAGGTTTCCAAACTCTATTAATACTGTTTAAAAAGGATACTAATACATCTCTCAGCTTGTGAAGGATGTCCGAACGTGGCCACAGCACATCCTGGCTGAGTCAACTGTACCACCATTACCTGGCCACACTGGGCCAACTGTTCACACAGTAGTGGAAACGTCGTGGACGGTGGAAGCTGGAAATAAAAACATTTTAATATCAGATCGTAGAAAATTCATCAAAATGAATACAAGGTAGTGTGTACTTGTAGTTTATGTAATTTTCGAAAGCTAAAAGAATTATTATGATTTTATAATTATGTACTTTGCAAATTAGGATGAATGAACGAATGAATGAATGAACGAATGAATGAATAAAGGAATGAATGAATGAACGAATGAATGAAATCATTTATTTGCAAACAGATTGTATAAAAGTTGTTTGAAAGATTTACACCCGAATACCGAAAGGCTACTCAATTTTAAGTTGTTCTTAAATATCGTGCCATCTCTGTCATTTCACAAAGAATTTGTAGTGACAGAACTACACTTAAGCGCGTCTCAAAATTGAGTGACGTTTCAGTAGGGCACGACACAGGAAAACCAAAGTTCACCAGTATCACTTAGCACAGGTCTAGAGTAAATAATTTTGTCATTTTAACAATTGTTAAGCACTAACTTATTTATCAATACTTACATTAGAAAATTTCACAGTCACATTTCCTTTTGGTGGGAGCCCATTCAAATTCGGTGGCATTATATGAGTTGGTGGAGGACCCATAGGGTAGGGTAACCGAGGTCCATAAGGGCTGGGATGATAGAACCGAGGCCTATCATTTGGACCAGGTCGAAAATAAGGATTAAAGATGCAAGAATTAATCATACAATTTGGCATTATGTCGGTAACACTATAATTTGGTTTCTTTGGAGAAGATGACTTAACAGAAGAAGACCCATTAGATGTATCTTTGCGATCCTTTGAAGATTTCTGATTATCAGATCCTTTAACAACACCACTGGCTTTGGATCTCTCTTTACCGCCATCGGAATCAGACTCAGGACATTCCAAGTCATCAATATTAACAACCATAGGCACAGTTGGTACTGTCGAATTAATTACATTACAAGCGGGCGGCATTTTAAAAATCTCCGCAATTGCCTTTACAACCTCTTTGCTATCTTCTTTTTCAAGTTTTCCTTTACTCTTGTTTGCAAACACCACAGGGTTTATCGCAGATTCTTGATGATTTAAGTATCTTTGGTATTCATGTGCGATGTTCCGTAGCGGTACTCCGCGCAATCCTAAGCCCTGACCAACCCCAGCAAGGCCTTTAGGCTTCACAATGATATCAGGGGGGTTCCTATCGATCATAATCTTTAGAGGAAGTCCATAATACAACTGTCCATCCAACATAGAAATGGCCTGAAATAGAAATATTACGAACTTTTCAAAAGAACAAATATTTATTGAAATTAAAATTAATTTAGTTTTTCGGGGTTATATTAATTTTACTTGTTCATCGAAACTAAATTAGACCTTATAATGTATTTATTTTGAGTTCAGATTATACTTGGTTCTTTTTTATTATCAAATTGTTCGCAAATTGAGAATAATACTGTTACTGGGATGAGTTTAAGAGTTACTCATGAGGAAGAATCAAGAAGAAGAATAAGATCACATAACATAACATAAGATCACGCCTTTTATCCCCGAAGGGGTAGGCAGAGGTGCACCCAGAAGTAACACCCACTTTTCACTATTTATGTTATGAGACCCATGTAATAGGGGGTGAGCCTATTGCCATATACCGGGCACGTTTCCAGACTACTGCTACTTCTGAGATTTACTTAAAAACCCAGTAATACTTTGCCCGACCCGGGAATCGAACCCGAGACCCCTTGCCCGGCAGTCGCACTAGCGACCACTCGGCCAACGAGATAGTCCGGCAGGCAGTAGTTAAGATTGTGAGCTCATAAAACTAATATCCTTACCTGAACAGCTTCTAAAGGATGGCTGAAGACGACTTTGGCGTATTTGTGGTTCGTATAAACAACGCTTATCATTGTCACAGTACCCGCCATCTCCATTACTTCTCTTAATTCAGTTTTATCGCATCTGAACTGTAAGAGAAAAATAGTTCCATTATAAAATATGTACATGTACACTATTTACCGAGAGTTTATACAATATTTATACATGTTGTACAATAGTTATACAACATCAATAATGTTATCCATTGACGTCGATTGAAATATAGAATCACAAACTTTCGCAATTATAATATTTTTACAAGAAGATAGAGCAAGCAGAACAAACTAGGCAATATGAAAACCGTTTTTGCACAAGACTTCGTTCGCATTTAATTAGTAGCCAAGCAACGTCATTAGACACTTCATTTATGTGTAACATCTATACATATATAATAATTATGATAAAATCGTAGTAAAGTATAAACTGTACATCGAATATTTTTTTTTAAAGAATGCTTTGGGCATAATCTACAGTCAATACCGAAACCAAAAATATGTTTTTTAGAATTTTTGTCTGTTTGTCTGTATGTATCCAGGATGATCTTAAAAAGTGCTGCATGGATTTACTTCAAATTTTGCATTAATATTACTAACAGGTTGGGTCAACATATAGGCTACATATTATCATGCTATCAACCACGGGGGAGGAACTGTGAATATATATTATTATTACATTTATATTCACTATTCCACGCGGACGAAGTCGCGGGTTTAGCTAGTCAAAATATTATAACAATGAATCACTTACATTAGTAACGTGAACGATTCTACTCAGTGGTGGCTTTATATTCAGGCACTGCAAGAATTCTGGTTTCAGACCATACAGGCCTTCGGGGTCTCTGCCCCAAAAGTCATCAAGTGGTCTCCACTGAGTGCTATGAATAAATAGTTTCCGATTAAAGTTCTGGAGAGTTAACAACATGCTAGACATTTCTGGTGTTAAAGAAGTTTAATATGTCTCATGACTAATGCAGTGACTGGGAGATCAGCTACTGTGCAACTTGATGCAGGTGATTCCAGCAAGAGTTAAATATTTTGTATGATCTACAATTTGTGACCTAGTTTGGGCGAGATATGTAAAATTATGCTTGTAAAAGTACCCGTGACATACGCAAAAATTTTTTAAAGTATAAATTTAAGTAAATACACTTTTTGCGCAAAAGCAGATCGCCAGCCACTGTGTCAATCGAGCAGTCGGCAGTAAAATAAACAATTTATAACATTTTGTTTTTATCATTAACTATCGTGAGACATACTAAATTAACTAAAAATAGCGGGTTACTCACGTGAATATACTGAGATAAGCTCTACTAGTTTCGAACCACAGAGGGATTCTTCCTCATGAGCAGCGTGCGCGGTCGCGGCGATGTCGCGCAGCCTACTGGTTCGAAACTAGTAGAGCTTTTCTCAGTATATTCACGTGAGTAACCCGCGATTTTTAGTTAATTTAAATCATAAATTCGCAGTTATATTAACTTTTTGCTAGGTAAGTTAATGACATAATACAATAACAATATGTATTAAAAAAGTAGTTTACCTTGCAGCTACTTTAGATTTAAAAATCCGAGGATCATCATCCACCAGGTTAACTCCAGAACAGTCCACAGAATAAGCCATGTATGACTCTGTAAAAGATGAAGGGCGACTGTCATTAATTCTTTTAAAAGAAATTGTATAAATTAGGAATTTCAATCGCGTATATTAAATACACATTATCATAATATTATCATGTTGAAGAGTTGATTAATGTAGATGAAGCAAAGAGGTAATGCCAGAATCATGTCATTGACTCTAGTTACCCTAATGAAAGACAGACGTGAGAATGAATGTTATATGTAGGCAAGTTTTAAGTTTTTTGTCCAAAGTCAAGATGATTGAATCAACTGTCTTTATAAACTTGAGTCATGACAGCGGAACGGAAATCTTAACAATAATTGAATCAATTTAGTAATTTAATTTTATTCATTTTTCAATATGCATTGAAGTCCAATAATGGTTTGTATTCAGACGCATAGTAGGTAATTTACATAAGTGCAATTACCAAGAAAGGAGTCTCGGTCACCTCCCGGGTCACCCAAATTTGGTGTTTTACAGTTAAAAACTGTGAATTTTGTGTAAATAAATACAATAAATAAATGATATATACCACTTATCCTCACTTTCAGTACATTTCCCATGACTATAACTTTATCTAATTTCTTCAGCACATCTATACATTTCTCAAAGCTCTGGAAAGTAAGTCTTATGGCAAAGATTTTTGATCTTCTTTTCCTTCGTAAGATCTGCATCTCATCAATGTGGCCACACTGAAAGGAAATAGGGAAAATTAATGTTATGTATGGACTAGCTACTTCCGCGCAGTTTCACACACTCTGCTCAGCTCCTATTGGTCATAGTGTAATGTTTTATAGCCTATAGCTATCCTTAATAAATGCGCTATCCAAAATAAATCAGACTTGTAGTTACGGAGATTAGCGTGTTCAGACAAACAAACAATAAAACAAACTCTTCCGTTTTATATAATAGTATAAGATATACATGATAATTTATCATGTTTAAAATATTTTGGAATTTAACTACCTTAAAAATGACTAATATTAAAAGTGCCTTACGAGTGTAGGCCATATCTTATCTGTCAAAGCCTTACACCTAGTTAGAAATGTTACTGACAAACGTCAGGTCTGATTCCTATATTAAGTAAAGTACCTGGATGGCCGAGCAAAAAATGATACCTAGGAAGATCAATTTATTGCCCCTGAAACCCATATACAGGGTATAAAACGGAACACTCCTGAAACCCTGACAAAATGAAAGTTTTTGTCTTCGGATTATGTCATGCGACAACAGCATTGAGCAGTTGATTGCAACTGTTGTTACATAAAAGAAACATTTAATTCCTTATTTCTATGAAAACAAAACTTCTTTTTACCATCACCCATTGGCATTATTTGGGAGCATTCTGTTTGCACCCTGTATACAAAATTTCAAGAAAATTCTTGGAGTCATTTCATAGATCATTGATACATACATATATCCAATTTCTTGGTTAAAAGTATTGGATTATAATTAACTTACCATTCTATCCAAATAATTTTTAATTTCCAATCCTTTGGGAAATTTGTGATTGTCAAATAATATTCTTCGAGATCATTTATAAGGTCTTCAGAGTCAACACGAGGTTTTTTAGTAATTTCTTTGTTGTGATATGCAGTTAGTCTCTTTGGTCCATTTTTCTCAAAATCATAGTTATGATCACTTTCAGATTCTTCCGAATTAGAGACTTCTTGTATTATTCTTGAGTCTTGTGATTTCTCAAATATTCTAGAGCCAATAGAACTCGCTTTTGTATCCGATTCCTTTGTATTCCCTCGTTGAATAGTCACCGCTTGAGACGATTTATCTTTCTCCATTTTCAACTGAATATGTATGGAATCCGACTGTTTTATAGTCTTAAATTATTTTTGAATAACAGATTCGTGATTTAAATTCTATAAAATCAAAGAATAGCGTTAATAGGACGAAATAGCAGGATTTAACGCACGGTGCAATTCGGTGGTCAATAAATTATCGTAATAGGTTTAGCATTAAAAATACGCACTTTAGATGAAAAATGAGTAATAATTCACAACTGAATTTACGATAAAACGTACAAAATAGTAAATACTTACAGAAAAAAATTCAAAATACTATAGTAATAATAACAGTTCGCCGAAAATCTTCGCTCAAATGAAAATGAAGTCAGTTGTCAAAATTAGAGTGAGAAAAAGCGCGGGGTCAATGTAATATTTTGAGAGCTACGACTGTTACACAAGGAATCCATCCAAATTTTCTCATCACATTCCGCATTACAGTACCCACACTCTAACAGTATCAAGCAAGCAAGAGCAAGGTATCGTGCAAATGAGCTAAATAATAAATTGACGGTAAGACACATATAATGAGAAAAATCCAATTAGATTTCTTGACGACTGTTGATTATTTACAACTTAATGAGAATCGACTACATTTATGACATCACTACTCGCCGAAGACGAAAACATACTAATTTTAACGTCAAAGTCAACATACATGAAATCATGATCTGTCAAATAAAAACAAAATTGAAAACTCGCTGTTTGGAAGCGTCGACAAAATTGTTTGAATAAAAAATTTAAAGTGTTATAAAACGAATATAACCGCAAACAATAAAGAAAATATTGTAATTTATGGTGGACATGTCCAAAAGCCCAAAACTTCTTTACGTGAAGGGGATGAATCTTGTAAGTAAAAATATTCAAACAAATAGATATCCGATTTCAAAATAATCTTGTATTTTGATGATCTTTTTAATTTCAGTCGGAGTCTGAGGGTGATGATGATGATCAGTGGGACGACAAGAAATTAAATGATGCGTATGACAAAGCTGTAAGAATTGCTAACGTTGAGGTGGCGAAGCGCGTGGCTATGTCTACAAACACTCAGGGTTCGACCAATGATCGTGAGTTGTTTTGCTAATCTATATCGAAATACATTCTAATATGAATCTGCTTAGACTCTCGAATATTCTTTGTACATTTATATGAATGAAAAATTACTACGAAGTCCAATAACTAAGTTTGAAGTGTCTAAAAGTAATAGCATGACAGTGTGATACATACCCTAATTTACAAAAAATGTTTTATGCTTCAATTTCAAACCAAATGTATTCTATTTTCATTGAATTGGTAATCAAAAAGTAATTCTTATTTGTGAACAACATGTCTTAGAAAATCCCTGCCTGCCTTCTTATAAAATTATATTATTTTTAGTCAACTAACTTCTATATTATTTTATTACAGCTACATTTTCCCCAAAAAAAGAGAAGTTAGCAACAAAACCAGCCAAGAAGAAAGCTACAATCCTGTCTGCCAATACCAATGGAATTGCTGATGATAAGCCAAAGGAAATGAGATGGAAACCTAGCATGCCATGTCGGCTGGTGTATGCTGAAGATGGCCTGGAGTATGAAGCCGTTATAGTTAGAATTGTTGATGATAACGACTGTGTTGTCAAATATTTAGGTTAGAATTTTTCTATTATGATAACTACATCAGTTTTGCTGTTGATTAAGTTGCTGAGAAGAATATTATATCTGAAAGGTTGATAAAAGTCTAAACCACTAGCCTATTGACAATACTGTAAAGAAAGAAAAGACAAGCAATTACAAATAATTAACAAAGAAACAAATAAAAAATTATCATTATTATGTCACAAAAAGGCCAGTCCTCAGCTAGATGCCATGGCCCGAGTAACAACACTGTAAATCAGTACTATGACTAGAGCTATTGTGCCTGGAATTGAAATAACCTTACCTAAGAGTAAATTCACAAAATATGATAACACTAGTACTAAATATTAAACTTTAAATATTTCAGGCTATGACAATCAAGAGCTGGTGTCAATAGATTCTCTGAAACAGTCTCTGGGCAAGGATGCTAGGGCCCAGCAGATTAAGGATGCGAGGAGAGATCAGACTGAAGATAGCTATGGTAGCCTGTCACCCAATGTTGATGGTGCAGAGGCTGTGGAGTGCAGTGACAGGGTGCCTAGTCCTGATAGTATAGGTATACTGGCTTTACCTGATAATGATTTATCAACCTTTGTAGGAATGACTAACAATAATGTGCTCGTAATTGTTTTGTGCCTTAGCGAAAGAACTTTAACTCGTCGAGTACCGGTTTTATAGACACAATTAAAGAACAATAGGTCGCGGTCACCAGTGACCGCTTGGTGTTTGACAGTTTAAATAGTTATGTATAATAGGGTAGTTTCCTAAAATTTTATTTTAATGTCTGTTTGGTACATTATTTTATAACATTAGACATGTATCTGTGTATTATTGAGTGGTAGCAAGTGCGACTGCCGGGCAAGGGGTCTCGGGTGCGATTCCCAGGCAGAGCAAAGTATTTCTGGGTTTTTAAAAAATTCTCAGTAGTAGCACGGAGTCTGGAATTGTGCCTGGTATATGGCAATCGGCTCATCCCCTATTACATGGGACTCACAACATAAATAGTGAAAAGTGGGTGTTACATTGTACAGTGGCATAATGTGCAACTCTGCCTACCCCTTCGGGGATAAAAGGCGTGATGTTATGTTATGAGAATAAAAGGGTGTACACCGGAGAAACCCTGAACACTCAACTAATGGAATATATTTTCTGTTACAGGAAGATCATCTCATAAAAAGAAGAAACCATCTAAAAAGAAAAAGAATCAAGCGAGGGGTATCAATATCAATGGCTTTGAGCTGCCAGAGATGCCACCCATACCTAACTTGTCTATGTTGAGAAATGTAAGTACTTCTTTCACTGTTTATTCCAAAGACCAACAAGAAATTATTGAGAATGTTAATTGTTGAAATATTGGTGTATAATTTTGATAACTACGGGTATTAGATATATTCGTTTTCTTACATATGTGTTACAACATCAGGGGCGAAAATATATGTTTTTTTTTATTGCTTCACATTGGTTATTATAATTAGAATGTAAGAATCTCAATTGTTGTTTAACATAGAACTGAACGACGATTGGTGCGCGACGTGTCGCGGGTTCGATTCCCGCTCGGAACAACTCTGTGTTATTCACAGATTGTTGTTCCGGGTCTGGGTGTCATGTGTATGTGATATTGTATGTTTGTAAACGCACTCACGACACAGGAGAAAATCCTAGTACATGGTAACGTATTTTAAAATGAAAAAAAATTGTAAAAAAAAGAAAAGATATATTAACTTAGTGACAAACTATAAACATGTTGAATTATCCATTGACAATTCAATACTACAATTTAAAGTTATTTTATCGATATTCCAGCAACTAGGTTCAATGGAAATGCCAATGCCGCCGCCGCCAATGGCCCTCTCAATGGACCGGTCTGACACCGAGGACCAAGCCATATCATCCATGCTGCTCAGCTGGTACATGAGCGGCTACTACACAGGGTTATATCAAGGACTAAAAAGGTAATAAATATTTTTTTTCATATCTCGTGATCAGCTGAACCGATTCGATTCGATTTTCAAAAAAGTGTTTGTGGTATTTCAAAGATGATTTTAGCATATTAAGTAACAGACTTCAAAAAAGAATGGGGTGTTTTTTTATAAGGGGGAATATCATCGAATGACTATTGACTACTCCCGCCTGGGTGAGGCGGGAGGGAGTGTCAGACTCTTACTGACTAAAAACAGCCCCGTTTCTCCTCCTGCACGTCGCGCCGGAGCCCCGGTTACCCATTAAGTACAAAAACGTCACATTGGTATTGCCATTGGTAGGTTTCGAACCCACCACGACAAAACAATTATGAGTAGTGGTAGTGATATATATGTGCTAAAATATTTTCTTTTTATTTCAGGGCAAAAGATGGGCGCAGGAACTAGGTAATCAAAATAGTGCTGAGTTTCATGAAGGAAAGGAAATTTATTATACACTTAAACTTAAAATAAAAATTGTTTTCTTTTATGATTTTTTTTTATTTTTTAGTCTCACATAAAATGAACTACAGTAAAAATGGAAAATGTTATCAGTAAAGAAAATAATAATAAATAAATTTATGCCTCCTGATTTATGTGTTAATTCACTATGTACAAATATACATTTTGAGTCTATTTTTTATTTTATGACTTCATATTTTATGTTCTGATTGGTGGGTTTTATTTTAAAACTATTGGCTACATCACTCAAATAACTTTTTAGTACTAAGTATCTCATTCAGAACTATATTTTAAAACTGTCAAAAATAATGTAAAAAGAAAAATGAATTATAAAAATAACAATCATTAAGAATATTTTAAACATTTTACAATATTATGTAAGTAGAACTTCCAAAACTATGTACATGAGTACACATTTGAAGTTTGCAAGATGGCGAGTTTAATTCTTAGATATTGCCTCATATAAAACTTAAAAAAAAGTGGCATTTGAGTCTAATCGATCTCGCGCCAAAACGCCACTATTTTCTTTTAGTCGATTAATTAAAAGAATCGAATTAGCATGAATCCGACCTTGTGTAAATAATGTCGCTATTGTGAAACTTTGAATGTATTAACTCTGAAAGTTAATTATCCACTAAAGCTCTTTAAACGATTGATGATTTGACTTTTATAGATTGAGAAATCGACTGCACTTTAATCGACTAATCATAATTTACAAGGACACAGTATCAAAGATTCTTATGAAACCTAAATAAAATAAAAACATGGCAATTTTTAAAACGTAAACTAGAGAAACAATATTTACAGTTACCACAATATACAAAAGAACAATATTGAAGGCATATTATGGCCCTCTTGAGTAGAAAACAGCATAGGCTGAATACTGTTATTCCTTTGTTTGGAGATTTTTAGATGCTCGTTTATATTTTATGACCACAGAATAAAATATTGTTTATTGTCGCTGTAAAAATATCTATTATACTTGAGAATTTAAAAACAACGGGATTATTATTATTATTATTTCTAACTCAATTAATTCGTTGCTTGGCGTCTAAATTTCTCAAAACAAAGAAATTAAATATTATAAATTAATTCATAAAAAACACATTCACTTCTCAGACACTCTAACAAACTCCCTCTTTGGGACACGCATACACGCAAGACAGACATACGTCAACTTCGAATAATGTCAATTCGCATAAATTGACTGGAATAGAATTGGCAAGTCGGTTACAGTCGACATATCGCTATTATTGGAACGATTGGTTTCAAGGGATCTTCTTGAATATTTTATTCCACATTTTTGTGATTATACTCTTTTTAATAAAATTGGTTATTGATATTGACTCGAATATAAATTCATATTCACACAAGACAACAATTATAGTCATAATTTCATTAAAATTCAATTACATTTTCATGTTTAAAAATCTGCCACAGTAATATTAAATTTCATCATAATTTTCCATTTTTAGACATCACATTTTTCGCATAAATTCAACGCTTCGAATAATGTTAATTTTATTCGAAGCGTTGATGTTACATGTTCGGATAAGTTCGTATTGACACGTCGCGGCTCATACGAGCGTGCTGAGTTCGTGAGTGTCGTGGCTCAAGTCGATGGTGGCTGCTGGAACGCCTGGAGTAGCGGCTCCTTCACCTGGAGGCGTGCTTGTTGGAGGCCTGTAATGTAAAAAATAATATTTTTTAAATAAGTATTTAAATTTTTAAAAATAAATATTTAATATTTTTTGAATAAATATTTAATATTATTTTGTTTATAATTATTTTGACATTTTTTATTACATTTATCAATTTTAGAGAACACTACCTAAGGTAAATAAATATTACGCAGTCGCAAAAATTGGTTAGAATGTGTTTTTTATTAGAAATAAGTAGTAGGTAGCCACCTGTGATTAGTCGTTACATATTACAGTACCCTCAAAAGAGTGAGACTATAAAAATAGAACCTATTAAACATTTAAACTACTCAAGATTTCTTTATAAAGATAGGTACCTAATGCTAAAATGGCTTACAGTCTCCTTTTAAACTGTCAAACACCAAGCGGTCACCGGTGACCGCGACCTATTGTTCTTTAATTGTGTCTATAAAACCGGTAATCGACGAGTTAATGGGGAAAACAAGGGTGGAAAAGTTAATAATAAAAATTAGCATCCCACCTTATAATATAAGGACCTCCTTGTTGCAGCAGCGTAATCGGATGCGTATACGCACCACCGGCTGTCATGCTATGGAAACTCAAGTTCCCCATTCCAGTATTATTCAAATGTCCATTGCCAATTATAACACCATTTGACGCATTTAAGTTCTGTGTGTTTGTCGTGGTATTAAGTTCTTGAGTTCGAAACGCTTTTACGAGGTTCGTTTTTTCCTTCTGCCATACGAAGACGTTGTGCACCATTGCGCAACCGCAGAAGATTATTCCAACGCCTATGAAAACTGACGTCACTATCGCTGGCGTCGAGTGGAATTGTATGAAGGTGTAGAGTATTATGCCTAGAATTGAGAATGGTGTGATTAGTATAGAAGTTAAACGTAGATAATCTAACGTGCAAAAAGACGCCTTATTACCGAAAGGGTACTGTTAAATCGAGATCAAAAACAAACTCGATAGGTACCTTTTTTTGAGGGGTTGAAATCAACGAATGACTTCTTCAGCCCGGGTGAGGCGAGAGGGAGTGTCGGACTCTTACTGACTAAAAACCACCCCGTTACTACTCCTGCCCAAGCTACCGAAAATTCCGTGTCCAGTAAGCACCTGCGTCAGGCGGTAGGTGAGGACGCCGTAACGTCTCCCAAGCCACTCCTCAAAGAGTGGACTTACCGCTGCAATGACAGCGAGCCCAAATTCGATAGTTACCCATTCTTATACAGGGAATTGAACCCAAGAAACCTTGCTCCGCTCTTCCATAATTATGCGGACACTCGACCAGCGAGCCAGTCAGAAAAATTATTAATTTCAGAGCACAACTAGAAACCGCATTGACTTAGCAATCCTAATATGGCACTAACTAAATGGAGTCTTAAAAACACGGTCCATCAAAAAACCTTATTAAAAAATGATTCTATCAAATAAACAGTCCGATCCCTATATTATGAAGTCGTGGGAAATAAAACAGTGGTCCTATTTGCAGTAGGAAATACATAGTAATTAGGGGACGAACCTGTTAAGAATACCGGTATAGATATAAAGAAACCACCGACGGCACACACTCTTGTGATGGCTGATTTCTGCAGGTATTTGTTTGATCTGAAATGAAAAGAAAAAATTGTTAGGTAAGTGGAGTAGGTACGTTATTAGATCTTTAGGAATACAATGATGAATGTTTTCATAATAACTATCTTGAGACATAACTAAATTAACTAAAAATCGCGGGTTACTCACGTGAATATACTGAGAAAAGCTCTATTAGTTTCCATATGAGCAGCGTGCGCGGTCGAGGCGATGTCGCGTAGTCTACTGATTGGTTCAAAACTAGTAGTAAACTAGTAGAGCTTTTCTCAGTATGTTCACGTGAGTAACCCGCGAGTTTTGGTTAATAAATGATGGATGGTTTTAAATGATAGAAGAAATTAGTTTGACCGAAGAACTTGAGATCAAATACTCCGAAATCCTAACCCTAAAATGTCGCTCTAGCATTGCAGGGTGTTCATGGTCACCGCTGATTGCTTAACATCACATGAACCATCATAATTAGGCCTCCGATAATACAAAGCAAGCGTTGTTTCACGTCGGGTTTCTGTGAGGCCGTGGTATCACTACGAGCCGGCCCATTCGCGCCAAAGTATGGCTATCCTACACTTATATCATACCTTGTATCATAAAATTAAAGATGTTGGTATCGGGTCTACAGTGTGGGAAGCATTGTATGACCACCGAAGAAATTTGTGTTAAAAGAAAATATTTTACCACTTATGGTGTAAATAATTGTTGAAAAAACCATTGCCTTATGCTAAATATCCGCTTCAATGCATTCGCACGGCACAAAAATCTGATTAAAACATATTTAAAGAGATCAGTGTTGCAAGATATTATTTAATATTCACGATTCTATAAAAACAACTTTTACATACAAAAATACATGTCTGCATGCCCCAAATCTCCACAATCTGCTTAAAAATCGAACTCGTTTGTCTCACAAAAGGATTTCATCCAATTTCATCAACCAAAATGCAGAAGTTTCAATTATTTAATCGATTGTATATTATAAGAACTCGATTTTAATCGAGAACTCGTTTGGACAGTCATGTAACGGGCTCGGCACCTGTTCATCGATAACTTTGGTAAATTGAGAAGTCGATTCTTTAAAGCATTATTTATATGAATGATGACTTTTGAGTACGGTTGTGTTTTCTATATGTCAGTGACACTATATTATGACCATTGATTACAACATAGACTGCGTTGTTGGCCGAGTGGTCGCAAGTGGGCCGAGTGGTCGCAAGTGCTACTGCCGGGGTCTCGGGTTCGATTCCCGGGTCGGGCAAAGTATTACTGCGTTTTAAAAAAAATCTCAGTAGTAGCACGGAGTCTGAAATTGTGCCCAATATATGGCAATAGGCTCACCCCCAATTACATGGAGCTCATAACATAAACAGTGGAAAGTGGGTGTTACATTGTACAGTGGCATAATGTGCACCTCTGCCTACACCTTCGGGGATAAAAGACGTGATGTTATATATATTTAGTTATATGATTACAACATTGGTGTTATCGAGACATTATATACTTGTTTGAATCATAGACAGTCTTGTTGAACTTGCGTCTTAGTTCAAATAGGTAGAGCTTAGCTAAGTATTTCAAATTGACTGGTTATAAGACACATAGGTACTTAAACAAGTTAGAACTGGTTGTCATGATAGAAATATTTGATTGCTATGCAGTTCAATGTTACGAGTGTTTGTATTTGTCTATTGAAGTCTA